TAAGATTGATCTATCGCTTCAAATAGCTGTTCAAAACAAAATGGGGAAATTCCGCCCGACAACGCGTCGCGACCACCTCGCGCTGATGGGCGTGACCCCGCCGCCACGTCGCTGCTACGCCCACCAGCGCTTTCATTGGACTGTTGTTGCCTTGCGCCTCTCCCGGTCAAAAGGAGAAAAGCATCAATGAGAAATGTCATGGCTGACAATGAGAGTCTGCGCTCATCTGATTTCGAGGAATGTGTCTTTGAGTACTCGTTCGACCAGCTACTTCCAGGTGAACTGGGCACTTGGAGCACTTGCTAAAGCTCTATTCGCTAGGATGTTCGCTTGGCTTATTAGGAGGTATGAATTTACTTGTCTTCGAAAGAGCAGTCTCTAGAAGTTCCTAAAGGCAAGAAGGCAAGTGACAAGGTCCAACGCCCCTTTCATCGTTTCAGGTGCAACAAGACACTGGATGCTCATGATCTGTCTCGTGACTATTTCATTGGAGTGCTTGATATCGCCGGTTTTGAAATTTTCGACGTAAGTCTGGAATGGCAGCGGCTATCCATGAAATATATGAGCTAGGGAAAGGAGAACATTTGTCGTTCTCGCTGCAGGGGTGTTCCTGAGGGCTGGGTTTGCGCAGCATCAGCACGCTTTCCACCAATTGTTGTCGCTTGCCCGCTTCAACGATTGGTTAGAATGGGCTGGCGCCGTGCCAAATTCAGCTCCCTGACACGCCCACAACATATTTTGTCGATGATTTACAGACCATTTCAGCACAACTCTTTCGAACAACTTTGGATCAACTTTGTCAACGAGAAGTTGCAACAATTCTTCAATCATCATATGTTCGTTCTGGAACAGGAAGAGTATTCCCGTGAAGGGATTCAATGGCAGTTCATCGATTTTGGTCTTGATTTACAAGCATGTATCGAACTTATTGAGAAGGTATTATATTTGTATTTGTATCAAACCAATCAGTGAACCTTCAACGAGCGTCAAGCTGGTCGGGAGGGAGGGGACATTGAAAGCTGGGGTAGTCATGTTCGACCCTGTTCCTTACATAATGCGGGTCATCGATTGAACAGAAAGGTATCACAGACCGAGTAGTTGCTGCTACCGTACTTCGCGCCCTTGATCCAGTTTCCTAAGTTTGAGGCCCTCAAATTGTAATGCTATACCCTTACGCCGCTGCCTGCGTCACCACATTGAATCATCTCTTGATGCGTCCTACAAGCGCGCCCCTAAGCTTAGGAAGTAGAGTCGACGGACAGTTTGAGCTTGGAATGTGCCGATTTCCTGTTTTTCTTTGCACTTTCTTGCCCGTATGGACACTGTAACGCCAAATATTCTAAATTTTCACAAACGATAGGTGTGCGCTCACCCAAGAGGGGGGAAGGATCTCGTACGGGTCATATCCTGGCTCACCGCATGTTTTCAACACGTTTGCCCTTCATCTGTCTGCGTTACATGGTTTCACAACAAGCATACAGAGAAGTTCAAGATGTCCCTCACCCAAGAAGGGGGAAGGATCTCGTACGGGTTACGGTAACAGCGTTTCACCCAACTGCCAAATCTCTCCTATATAGGACGGTCACCAGTGGGGCCCGCTTCACAAACGCACGCCGTAGGCTAGTTTTTGCGAAAGCCAAAAACCGACGACTGTATAAATTGAGGTTTACCCTACAAATGGGAACACTTCTCATTAATGCTATCGAGATTCTTGAGAAAATCTCGGAATTTCGGAACATATCTTGTTAAATACCATCGACTTTGAATCGGTTCTGAGGCTCGTAACGTCGTCCCTACACCCTAGCTTCCTTCCTCTAGAATTTTTAATTGGCAGAAGTTCCCAACATGGCTACAACCGCTTCTTCTACCTTACAGAAATAAATGGGAGTGGGTCAGTGTTGAACTCGAATATCTCGTCTGCCTGAAGGGAAAATGCCTGGCCCAGAGCCAAAACTGGAGTGTGGCGCTGGTGCCCGTGGCTCATGCCCCAGGCGTAGTTTTATTCCAATTCCAGGATACCACTGCATCCGTAAAAAGAGGTCGACGAAACAGCATTGGAATGTAGCTCATTGTTTCACTGCCACGCTCTTTCTTCGCTCCGGCTCAAAAAAAACCTCTGTACAAAGTTACGATCACCGTAATCTCACAAGCTATTGCACAAAGCAGCCTTGTTCGGTCTCGTTCTAGCTGCCCTGTCTTGCCCTGTCGCTTGCCAGCTCTCGTGGTAGGTGGAAAAGGGGTTGCCCCCGTCCACCCCACCACACAGCCCGACACGCCCCAGCATTAGCAGCTATCGAGACTGTATCTTACAATAGTTCTCTTCAGATGAAAACAATTGAATGGAAATTACAACCTCTGCATAGAAACCAATTCTGTATCTTTCCAGCCTCTTGGAGTTATTTCGATGCTTGATGAAGAATGTATCGTGCCGAAAGCTAGCGATATGACCTTGGCCTCAAAGCTCAACGATCAACATCTTGGAAAACACCCAAATTTCCAGAAACCTCGTCCACCAAAGGGGAAGCAGGTACGTCCGTGGTTCCACTCCGTTTCACAGAATCAAAGAATCAGATTATTCCAGGCCGAAGCACACTTGGCCATCGTTCACTTATGCCGGCACTGTCCGATACAATGTGAAAGGATGGTTGGAGAAAAACAAGGTATAATGTAAAAAAGAGCAGAGGAGTATCGTGTATGAATCTCATCGTTTTCCACTCAGGACCCTCTGAATGACACGGCTGTATCAGTTCTGAAAGCTAACACTGGAAACCAGTTGATGTCTGAGCTGTGGGCTGACTACAACACCCAAGATGATATCGCAAGTCTCGGCAAGAAGGCTGCACCATCTAAGAAAAAGGTATGTCATAAATCTACTCGTTCTTCCAAATTCTAGAGCTATTCGAGTAATGTGGGGTTCCAAAAAAAGAAAAGGTAGCGGTAAAGGAAAAAAGATGCGCTGTTTGACATGGGAGGGGAACCA